TAGTGACAAGGGGTAGGGGAGATAGAGGGGCGGTGGTAGTAACAGGGGGTAGGGGGATGGAGGGGTAGTAACAGGGGGTAGGAGGGTGGAGGGGCAGTGACATGGCTTAGAGGGGGTGCAGGGGCTGTAAAAGGGGGCTGCATTATGGGCAAGCTGCTGGGCCAACCCGCCTAATTAGAGAGCCGCCTCTGCCCTTACCTCCCTAAATAAGAAGAAAACTCACCTTTTTTCCAGTGCTGTGCAGGTCCTCCGGCGCTGGTCCTGCCCTTAGGAAAGCATTGGATTGGCCAAGATTGTCCATTCTGATGATCTTAGTCAAGGAGGAGGGACTGGGGGAGGAGCCAAACACCACCCTGGCAAATCAGCATCTGCTCATAGAGATGTATTGAATCAATGCATCTCTATGGGGAAAATTCAGCGACTTCATGCAGAGGGTGAAGACGCTGAACGTCAGTACTGCACCCTGTGCAGCACTGACCCAGGAAGCTCCTATAGTAGCCGTCTGAGGTGTGGCCCATAGAAGTGTTCCTAGGCCACAATGTAAACACCGCCTTTTTTCTGAAAAGGCAGTGTTTACAGCAAAAAGCCAGCAGGGACTGACTTTTCTCACAAGAACAGCTACAAGAAGCTGTAGTTGTTGTGGTGACTAAAGTGTCCCTTTAACACTAATTGGAGGGACAGTGCTAGGGGACTCCAGACACTATAAACAATTCAATGAGATGGAGTAGTTATAGTGGGTTCCTTGAAGGGACGTTCCCCAGGGTTCTACTTGTAATATTTTAGACAGGTAAGTTGTCCAGTTAGAAGAACAGTGTGAAGATTTGAGGATCATTGAATTGTTTTACATTGTTTTTTTCTACAGACAGTATTCTGACAAGTGGCCTACTCAAGTAGGGTGGGCTCGGCAAAGGCACTCTAATGCTTTGTGGTCTGGTTGGGGAAAAAATATCTTCCTCAAATGACCGCATTGCATAACTTCCGTGGAGTAGGTCTCTTGCCAACACCTCTCTTGCACTGTCTCGGCAGCGCTGGGAGAATATCATTATTATATTCATGTTACTCCCTCCCAGAGAACAAGATGTCAGTTCAAGCACAGATAGAAACCCAAACCTGCCCACTCACCGCTCAGCTCAAGGGAAATCCACGAAAAAGGTGGAAATGAGTCTAGAATACTGAATCCAGGTCACTCACTCAACTAACCACCTGCTACAAATCTCTGAAAATGTAATAGTTTTAAAAACACCTTCCTTGGGCAAAAATAATGGGGGTTTAGTTACATTATATGATCATACATTGAAAAAAGCCTGCCACGTCGTCAATGAGCCCCATTTTTGGCAGGTCCTATTATAGCAACCTAGCGCCTGCTCTTCACTTACTCTGGAAATGCGTCCTACTGGGACTCTCTGCAGCGCAAGGTTAAATAGGGCCCTGGAATAGGGGTGCAAAACTAGGGAGTTGGCCTGTACTCCCAAATATAAATATGGAAACCAATATGGCTGCAGCCCTAGTTGCGCTGAATGTTATGTTGTATTGCAATTTAGGAAGCTAAACTCTTTAAAGTCCGTGGGGAATGATATTTACTTTGTTTTCACCAACATGCATCCGCTGACTTGGTTTATGGTGTTTTCGGTGAGCACACCCAACCAACATTATGTTTTGATGGCCTTTGCAGCCCAGCTCAGTCAGGTGCTAGGAATTACACTCAGTTAACAAATGAATGATCTATCTGATACAAATGTTTACAGAAATAATACATCCTGCATCCTCAGTTCCATTATTTTTATATAGGATTTGGGCTCCATGTTCCAGGAAACAGGATGCGACTTTCTCAAAAAGGAATCTTTAGGTTGTCACTTGACTACAATTCAAGAAATCTAATACCTTTCAGAGATACACTAATTGGTCTTTTTAGGGAACAAAGCTGGGTCAGATGTTCACATTTAAGATTTCAGGTCTTATGAGCAATTTAATTGCGTTAGTACAATGTTTGTAATAAAAATATAATAAAAATAAAGTAACTAATACAAATAAGATAAAACCTACAGTTACTTCCTACGGCCTATGATCGTACCAGCTCTGGTTTCCAAACACTGTCTGACCCAAGGTGTATGTATATGGCTGAAGGATCCCGTCACATACTAAATGTTAGGGACGAATTGGATATTTTGAGGTGACTGTTGTGCTTTAAATTTAGCGTTTTCTTGTTCATTCTTTCCAATCCCAATCCAATCTGATTTTTTTGGTGCTTTTCCTCTATATTCAATTTTTTTCCCTTTTTGGTCCAAAATCCTCTTTACTGAGTCGCTCTTATTTCTGACCGTGTTTCCGCCACTGTCAGATTGACGTGTGTTCTGTGACAGGTAAGTGCTTTCACATTTTCTGTTCCCCTTTTTGTGGTCATAGTAAAGAAATATAATGTAAAGTGTAAAAATTATAATATTTTTTTTTCTTACAAAATTTGTCTTTTATCCTCTAATTTTGCAAGTGAGTTGCAGTCAAGCTAATAAAATTAAAAAAGGAATAAATAGTGACCCAAAGACAGATCATTTTAGCAAATTACAGAAAAAAACAGAAACCTTTTTTTTTTTATTCTGAATATTTTTACCCCCTTTATTTTTGTATTGTTAAAAAAAAAAAATTTTTATGTCCGTATTGGTTTGAGGGCATAGGATATTGAGATAATAGTAATATATATATGGCATATTTGTAGAATAACCATAATCGTTTTATTTCTTAAGTATACCATCATGTTATATGATCCCATATATGTATAATTTATACTTGATTGAATGGAGTATTTATTTACCTCAGTTTATCCCTTTTTAATTTATTTCCTTTCCCATTGCTGTTCTCCCCATAATTCCTCCCCCCCCCAAAAAAAAAATATATAAAAATATTTGAAAAGGAACCAGTATATATTGGGTGGAGTAGGAGTTTTATACAGTTATAGAATATTGTACACAACACTGTTGCCAATGTGAAAATGAACACAAAACTCGTTTTGCCTAGCCCATAATGCTTTACTATATGTAATAAATCCACCCTAGATTGCCCCCTCAAAGCTCCAGTCATGAAACCAGAACTCAATGGGACAGGCAGCCATAGGCTATTTACCTGATACCTTGAGAAGTAGCACCTTGTCAGACTTAGCCATAACCCAGCTTGTCCCTTTCAGGAATATGATCAATCAGAAATGGCACATGTACTAATTAGCTTAGGTGGAACATCAAATGGGCTTGGTAAAAAAATAAGGAGTTTAAAAATTGCTCAAAGTGTGACAATCCCTATGGAAACTAATGGGATGCTTCACCCCCTACTGATTTTACTGATTTTACCCCAGAATTTTGCTTATATAATGAGAGTTTTCCTGAACCTGGTGGGCTCCAGAGACCCTCATGTATCAGGTTTTAGCCAATAGAAATATAGAATATGATCTGAAATGTTCATTTTGTTCAATGCTGAGAATGGGAGCCCGGCCAAAAGGAAATACTGTCTGAGAAATCAATGGATCTTACATCATGATAGATAGACAGACAGATATATCTGTGTCTTATGGACTGTGTAATGTGTAATTATTTTTTTCATTGGTTTATAAACAATATTTTAGTTGATCCATATTTGATGTACGATGAAAAAAAATCGAATAAATGACAAATGAATGGAGTAAATGAACCATGTTAATTGCTATAATGTGCAAGTTATTAAAATGGCGAGTTAGGTGTAAACAAGATGCTTTGGGTACTGGGAGTGAAGGGGTTACTGAATTGCAGGAGACCCACCCAGCACTAGCTAGAACCATTTTCCAGTTCCTGCCCAAACAATGCTCATTCTCCAGCACATACCCCAACAAACACAGCACTCAGACTAATAGTATCTGCAATCTAGAGCCACATTGCATCAGAACAAAACCCACTGACCTTCCCAGCCTGCCCCAGATAATGCAGTGCAGACGATGTATCTAAATGTGTCAAGTGCATTGAAAACACCAACAGGAGACACACAAACACACAAAAAAATAAAAATCATGATGTCACCAGCCCTGAAAACCCATGAATTGCTCTCAAAATAATTTGCAAACAGAACTATACATGCCAGTACATTGCACAGCTTACTGGCATTTACAGGGTTAATCTTAAATCCATTATATTATTAAATCAATTAGGGCTATTAACCCATTGCATGTCAGACATGTAGACAAGGGAAAGATCCCTTCTCAGTATGCCGATGGTGTGATGCACTACAACTCTCATTATGCACAGCCAGCAGGATAAGAGGTGAGCGGATACTCCCTGCAATCAGCCCACCCTGTGTTTGGAGGAGGGAGACAAATATAAGTTTTAACCCAATGAGTGCCATATAGGAGAAATATATATAATTATACACACTGTATATAGCATATTTAAGCCTCCCCCCTCTCCCCCAACCCTGGCAGTTTTAACCCAATGAGTGCCAGATAGAATATATATATAAATATAAATATACTCACTGTATATAGCATATTTACACATCCCACCCTGGCAGTTTTAACCCAATGAGTGCCAGATAGAATATATATATAAATATACTCACTGTATATAACATATTTACACCACCACCCTGGCAGTTTTAACCCACTCACTGAGTGAAGGGCAGTTTTGTGATGCTATATTTAATAAAACACACAAGATAATGACACACACGGTGAAATTAAGAACAGAATTAGCATCTTGTCATTGCTTTTATTAGGGATATTCTGCAATGTCTTTTTTTTTTCTTCTTCCAAGATCACATATTAGCCATTTGCAAAGAAAAAGAGGGAAAATGAATCCTACAAGCCATCTATTCCTCTGCACATATCCTTGCCATATTTTCCCTTTTTCCCTCGATAAAATTGCCAAATAATAATGAATCATTTCATAACTAATGGGTTTAGGGACTTATCAGGGCAGGCTGGCCACTGCTGAGTCTCTTATCAGTGCTGGACACATTGCTGAAGTGTTCCTTTCTACATACTAAGTAGGAAGGCAGTCAGGCTGGGGATTAGATCCAATTCTCCTGCAGCCACTAAACTACTCCCCTAAAAACACCCACTGCAGTCATGAATAGGCCACAAAATGGCCCCAGTCACTTTTACAAATGAAAGGCAAACGGTGAGTAAATCCTTAAAAGTCTTTTGTTTTTGCTAGGTGGGTGATGAAAGGTGTGGGTGATTTGGGGTTGTGTGGGGTTCGCAGGGTCTTTATAGTCTAGTGACCCACCAGAGATCCTTATTTATACAGCAGTAATGTTGGATTTGCAGTGACATTTTTTTTAATTTATTTTTTTCGTTTTATGAGATGTGTAGGGGTATGGGGGCCTGGGGAAAAGAAATGGAAAATAGGATAGATTTGGGAAATGGGTTAATATATATATAAATATATATTGTTTTCATATTTAGCTATATCTGCAGATGTTTAACCCACACAAATAGGGACTTTTTTTCGTTTGAGAAACGTATAATTTACATTCATTACATTAATAAAGATATATATATAAATAAAAACACAGACACACACAAACAATCTCCTTTTCGTACCACATCAGGCCTCCCTGGCAAACCGCAGCTTCTCCATGTATCTTGGAGAATTATTTACTTTTTATTCATTTTCCCCCATTTTTAATCGGATTCCTTTTTACATCAGTTATTCGTTTTGTGAATGCTTTTAATGTTTACCAGTATGATCGAGGATACAAACTATAGTGAATCGTAAACAAGCAATACGGTCGGATTGTGTGCGGTTTCCCTGCTAGCAACACGTTCCCTGTGTTAGAACGTTCGTTTTCTCGTTCGATAAATATTGTGACATTTTATTTACATATTGTTACACCGCGTTCTACGGCCCTAGGTCGCCGACTGCATACATTGTAGGCGATATATTGCTACATTACGGCTACAATTAATAGCATACACAAACACAGAATTTAAACAGTAGAAAATGCTTTATATTTGGTCATTTATGTGTTCAGCTATTTCTGTATATTTAATTACAATATACATATAATTAAGTGGAATTAGGATGAAATATAAAACCGGAATATATATATATATATATATATATATATATATATATATATATATATATATATATATAATATTATTAGTATATTAATATTATATTAATATATTATTATCCCGATGATTTTGTCATATAAAGCGAGAGTGGGGGGATATTGTTGTCTCTCTCTCTCTCTCTCTCTCGCTATCGATATTATATTATTATTATTATCATTACTAGTATATTATAGTTTAGGTGCTTTATATAACATCTTCAGTCTTACATTATTTAGAGACTTGGAATTTTTAATTTTTTTATATTTTCATTCTGCTTGTCTTTTGAACAATATAGTTTATATGTGTGTATGTGTGTGTTTTATTCTGACTGTATATAATAAACACATGCACACAGACACATTGCTGACTGTCCTGCTGAGTGGTTAATGTGGGATGAGATCTTATTAGGTGTATGGGGAGGTTATTGCGATAAGACACACAGGCTGTCTGTCTGTCTGTCTGTCTGCTGACTGCAAAGTCATGGAGTCACACATACATTTTGATCGGTTCGATAACATGAATTGTTTAACCCCTTAAGGACACGACATGAGTGACATGTCATGATTCCCTTTTATTCCAGAAGTTTGGTCCTTAAGGGGTTAAGGGTATTTATTTTCCCATTGTTCACCAAATGAATTTCGTCACCGAATTAACCATTTCGATACTGTAATTGTGATTAATAATCTAATTCCTCCAGTATTCGGAGAATTTATTTCCATCCCTTAGACCTAATTCTTTCTTTTATGCCAGGAGTTTCAATCTACCCTTGAAGAGTTCTTTATAAAGATATTTTGATATGTCACTACGAAATGAATCACACACACACACACACACACACACACACACACACACACACACACACACACACACTCTCTCTCTCTCTCTCTCTCTCTCTCTCTCTTTTTTATTTTATTTACACAAGCATTTTAATCATCCCCACCCTATTATGTCAGTTAAATGCCAGTTGTCAAAAACAAAACAAAAAAACAAAAAACAAAACAATTTCAATGCAATATATTTATATATTGATACAGTAACAAGAACTGTAAATATTATCTTTTATGAGGTATGATGTGTATATATATAATATCCCGAATTATTATAGATCCATAGATAGGTATAATTAAAATAAATTAGTAATGTGTATAATAGCAATAATAATAATATTGCTGCCATGTTATATAATAATAACACTAATTATAATAAGAATAATATTACTGCAATGTTGTATACTAATAATAATAATAATATTACTGCCATGTTGTATAATAATAATAATAATAATAATAATAATAATATCATTGCCATGTTGTATAATAATAATAATAATAATAATAATAATAATATTGCTGCCATATTGTATAATAATAATAATAATCCTGCCATGTTGTATAATACAACTACTACTAATAATAATATAATATTGCTGCCATGTATAATAATAATAATAATAATATTGCTGCCATATTGTATAATAATAATAATAATGCTGCCATGTTGTATAATACTACTACTACTACTACTAATAATAATATAATATTGCTGCCATGTATACTACTACTAATATTAATAGTAATTATTATTATTATACAGCATGGCAGCAGGGGTCCTGTCTTTGTGTGTGTCTGTTTGGCTTTTCCAATGCTATCCCCATGCAGTTTGTGTTCACCCAGTATAGGTCTGTGAGTGCCACTGGCTGTGTTATTCGTTCCATATCATTATTTATACCCCAGTGGGGCTCCTCTCGCTGATATGGAAATCAGTCCCAGCTAAATGGAGTGATTAGATTTACCTGATAATTGAGATAGGTTTTATCAGCATGCCACATTGCACAATTCCCAGCACAACCCAGAGATCTGTCATTTCAGCATAGTGAGGGTTAACTCTCTCTCTCTCTCTTTCTCCCTCCCCCCCCTCTCTCTCTCTCTCTCTCTCTAAGAAGGGTTAATGCATGTTACATTGTAGCAGAAATGCCTGAACTCCTGTCCTTCCTCTATAAATCTGGAATCAGGATTTTAACAATGTGAGCGCTTTGTTTTTGTTTTCTATTTTTCGATTACTCACACTTTAAACATTTTACATTTCAACATTATCAATAAAACACGATATCACTCAAACACACACATTAAACAGACAGACAGTTATGGGGTACATCTTTATACATTTCTCTATAGAAATATAGAGCACCAAAGGTTCATGGGAGTTAAAGCCCCAAAATGGATTTCTGTTTTCTTATTTGTTTTGCTTTTCTTAAAGCCCCCCAACAGGGGCATATCTGCACCTAGGGGTATTAACCCCTTGCTTTGCATGGGCATGGTGTATTGTGTGACAGCGCTGATAGGGTTAATCAGCTCCTAAGACCGATTATTCGGTGGCCAGACATTCAGGTGCAGTTTTAGGTGGCTGAGCATGAAGGGGGTTGGAATCCGTGTTAAATATATTGACACTATTTATAAATGTTTCATCGATTCATTATGTTGTCTTAGTTATTTTTCCAAATGACAAACCGTAATTCTTAATGTAAGAGATAGTTTGCAAAACAAATATTGTTTGTTAGACAATGCCAAACACACAGAGACAGCTCAGGGTTAATCCATTTTATGGTGAATAGATTATAGTAAATCAAATAATTCTATATATATGTGTGTGTGTATGTGTGTGTGTGTATGTGTTTGTGTGTGTATGTATAAATTTTATGGACGTAAGACAATGTTAAAAAAAATCTGCACACCAGTAGAAACACGTTTTATGGCTTGACTGGTGTGCAGATTTTTTTTAACATTGTATTAACTATCCACAGACTTCAGGTGGAAGGGGTTTTCAATCACAATCCTCCCCCACCATAACCTTTTTGGTTTTGCTTCCTATATATATATATATATATATATATATATATATATATATATATATATATATATATATATATATATATATATATATATAATATTATGGGAGTAAATAGCAGGCGTGCGTGATTCTTTGTGTGTAGGAAATTAAGGGAGGGGGTAATAAATATAGATCAGTTGCTTAGGTAAGTAAGGCTTTTTGTTAATGGTTATTGTTGCGGTATATAGATGATATTTGTGAAGGGGTTAATGGATATTGTTGAGGTATATAGATTGTTGTATATTGATGATGTTTGTGGAGGGGGTTAATATATATTGTTAAGGTATATAGATGTTTGTGGGGTTAATAGATATTGTTAAGGTATATAGATGTTCGTGGAGGGGTTAATAGATATTGTTAAGGTATATAGATGTTCGTGGAGGGGTTAATAGATATTGTTAAGGTATATAGATGTTCTTGGAGGGGTTAATAGATATTGTTAAGGTATATAGATGATGTTTGTGTGGAGTTACTAGACATTCATTAGGTCTATATTTGATGTTTGTGTAATATTTCTAGGTATAGAGATGCTATAGACTGTATATTGTGTTTGGGGAGTTATTGTGTGTGATTCTGAAGGAGGATAAATCAGGGAGGTGTAGCATGATTTGTGGGGTACATTGTTAGATATAAGGTGTGTAATTTTATTATAGCTATGTATAGGGTGTGTAGGATTGTGTCTAGCTTTAATGGCCCCTGGGTAAACATGGTATGGAATTTTCAAGTGAGCTCTATTTCAGGTCTAGTGGAAACATTGCCAAGGTAGGCTCTAGGTCCATACAGAGTGATCAGTGGTAAGGGATCATGTTGGCATTGGAAATGGCTGATTGTTGTTTTTGGAGTTCATTGTCTGAAGAGTTGCACTTGGTGAACAGTTCAATCAGCTATAATGGTGTCTAGGGGTGGGTGTTTGTGGTCAATGTAAGTGTTGCTAGAATTTAAACATTCTATTTTCTCTTGGCAGGTAGTAATCACTGGGAGGTGACATTCCTGCCAGGAATATTGTCCTCTCCTGTCCCAGAAGATGATGGAGAGGTTGGGACCAGAAATGGATGATGCTCAAGAGGTCGCATCTCCCCACCAGGACACGACTGAGGCGGAGAGCACGCGTGGTGTGGAGCAGAGTGGGGGGAATGAGGGGGCGGCGGCCCCCTGCTCCCCCCCCAGGGCTGTGCCAGTGATTGAGCTGCTCAGGAGGGGGGAGGGATCAGGGAATATAAAGGGCAGAGAGCAGGAGCTGAGACTGCAAAGTCTGAGGACCACCGAGCTGTGCAGAGCCCCCCTCACTCCAGCTACAGAGCTTTGCAGAGCCCCCCTGACACCAGCTACAGAACTTTGCAGAGCCCCTCTAACACCAGCCACAGAGCTTTGCAGAGCCCCCCTGACACCAGCTACAGAGCTCTGCAGAGCCACCCTGACTCCAGCGACAGAGCTCTGCAGAGCCCCTCTGTCAGTTGCAGGACCCCCTCTTACTGCCACCACCGAGCTGTGCAGACCTCCGCTCCCCTTACCAATTCCTGGACCGCCAGCTGAACAAGCCCAAGAAGCCCGAATGGTGCAGCTGAGCCCCCCAGCTTCCCTCCCCCTGCAGGCTGCAGGCAGGACCATGCTGTATGGCCTGAGTCAACCCCTGACTCCAGCAAACAGGTGGGTACCATCTTTCTATGATCAGCTATACTGCAGATCATCTCACAATATCTCAACTGCAGATCATCTCACAATATCTCAACTGCAGAACATCTCAACTACAGAACATCTCAGAGTATCTCAGAATAGCTCCTATCCTCTAGGACATCTCAAATGCATCCAATCCCCTGCAGATCAACACAGCATCAACACTTCTGTAAACTGCTCACAAATTCACCATTCTTACTGAGAATCTCAAAATTCCATCTCCTGCAGAACATCTCACCACATTACCCCACATCCAGCCAAGTACCCCACAAACAGCCATGTACCCCACATCCAGCCAAGTACCCCACATCCAGCCATGTACCCCACATACAGCCAGGTACCCCACATTAAGCCAGGTACCCCACATTAAGCCATGTACCCCACAAACAGCCCCCTACAGAGCGTGTTGATTTTATCAAAGTATTCATATTATCTCATTCCATTCACTAGACTCTCATGTTCATTTCTTCATATTTCAACATATTTCCGTGTTATTGTTGATATTATTATTGTTATTATATGTATTATTATTATTAATATTATTATTATTTATGTCATTATTATTGCGATTATATGTATTATTATTATTAATATTATAATTAGTGTTATTATAATTCCTATAAGTATCTTCATATTGTGTCTTCCAGCTTCTTTCGGTTTAGTTTTATGTGTTTTATTTGCACACCCCTCCCAGGTTTTGACAATAATATCTAGATGTTTGTACCCCTGGCAGTTATTCAATCTCTATACAGTATCTGGCTGCATCACACTCTGTGTTTATACATTAGGCTGCAGAGCATCCCAGTGCAGCCTGAATTCCTACTCACCTTGCAGAGCATCCCAGTGCAGCCTGCATCTCCTACTCACCTTGCAGAGCATCTCATTGCAGCCTGAATTCCTACTCACCTTGCAGAGCATCCCAGTGCAGCCTGCATCTCCTACTCACCTTGCAGGGCATCCCAGTGCAGCCTGCATCTCCTACTCACCTTGCAGGGCATCCCAGTGCAGCCTGCATTCCTACTCACCTTGCAGAGCATCCCAGTGCAGCCTGAATCTCCTACTCAATTCTCAGAGCATCCCATTGCAAACTGAATTCCTACTCACCTTGCAGAGCATCTCAGCGCAACCTGCATCTTTAACCCAAAGTGCAGATCATTTCAATGGAACCCTATCTCCTACTCACTCTGCAGAGCATCTCAGTATAACCTATCTCCCAATTCTCTTGTAGAGAATCTCAATGTACCCCATCTCCTACTTACCTTGCAAAGACTCTCAATGTTGCTCATAATACTCCACCCTTGGGGCAAGTAGTCACCCTATTCCCCCTTATAGAGCATCCTAGTGTCCATATATATGTACACCCTGCAGATCATTTCAAGCTGGCCGAATACACTGTCGTAAAATGCCAGTTTCTCTGCAGTCTGGAGTTAAATCCCCTGAAATGAAATCCTACCACTCTGCAACCCCTTACATGTATCTGGTTTAATGATTGCATTAACATTGCAGAGCATTCCAGTCTGTTTTTCAGATGACGTGACTCTGCAGAGCATGTCCTGGCAGAGCTTCTATACTCTGTCTCAGTGCAACACTATTATATCACCTTGCAGAGCATCTGAACACACCACCCAAATCCACCGCAGAGCATCTCAGCAGTCACCCACCTCACATTACTGCCTGTAGATTGGATTCTATATATATATATTCTTACTGTTTCCTAGAGATAAAAATGTCATGCAAGAAATTATCTTTTTCTTCATTTAAAAACAAAAAAAAATCCCCAAAAGTGTAGCAATCGCCATAGAAACTACTGAAATGTCACAGTGTTTTTTGATTGCTCCACTTTTTGACCACATACAGGGCTCTTTGTGGCTGATGATGCACAGGTTTAGAATGTATCAGTCATTCATTTGGATTTATTAAATCGACACATTTACTTACATTACGCTTATATAAGAAGTGCAATACCAGACTCAATCATTTGTGTGTTTGTTCAATGTTTGTAAACTACAATATGCCCTTGATGGGGCATATTCTGATTTCTACCTGGTGAATTGTAAATTTTTTTTTTTTTTTTTTTACTATCTCCATCAAAAACTCTGAAAACAGATAAAATAAAAATCAACTATAAACAATCTACAGTAAGCCAGCTCTTTGGTGCAGAAGTAGCATGAGAAACAAATAATAGTATGTTTTATTGTAAAACAATAAAAAATAGCAAATAGGGCTTATTCACTAAACACAACTCTAGTTAAAAAAACAAACAAAATGAAATGAACTAAAATAGCAAATTTGGGACATGAGATGAGCTGGAGAGTTTTTTTTTTCAAACCAGCATTTTTTTGCCTAAATGTTAGCATTCTGTTTAAAATTCACCAACATTCACTGTTTATTTAAAAAATAATAATAATAAAATGGGTCTTGGGTCATAAACAACAGACACAGTTCTTTTTCCAACATGAGGAAAGCTTTATTTAGCAAGCCGGCCTTAATTTAGCCACAGCAAAACATTGAACAAAAATAAAATCCTACTCCACACTGGAGACTAACTAATATAGAGTACCCTGTCCATGCTACTGGGCAGCTAAGCTGACTCCAGTAGTTTAACAAATAAAATAAAAGGCTTGCAAAATACCTTTACTTTCCATACAGTTTCAACAGTCTCTTTGACTCACAGTCTCTCATTTCCACAGTCCTACAGTCCCACAGTCTCTCAGTGCCTCAGTCTCTCAGTCTCACAGTCTCTCAGTCCCTCAGTCTCACAGTCTCTCAGTCCCTCAGTTTCCACCCTAGCTCTTCACAGGAGAGACTGATTCCTCTGTGCATATTGTTTATGTAGCTCCCTAATTGGTGTACTAGAGCAGGCATAGGCAACCTTCGGCACAGAAGATGTTTTGGACTACACCACCCATGATGCTTTGCCAGCATTATGTGTGTAAGAGCATTATGGGGGATGTAGTCCACAACATGTGGAGTGCCGAAGGTTGCCTATCCCTGTATTAGAGCAACCTGATTTTTAACCCCCTCTAGTCAGGGAACACTGAAAGTGCCATTCTGGGGCTAATATAGCAGTGTTCCCTCACACTGCCACAAAATAATTAATTAATAAATATATAAATGATAATATGATAAAATAAATAATTTCTCTATTTTGTAGCAGGAATATATTTAATTGTTTTATTCTATATTATTTTCTGTCTCAGCATTGTAATGGCAAACATCAAACACATAAACAAACAATAAAAACAAACAACCGATCATGCACAATGATTAATCAAATATCTCCATTTGCTGCATGGACAAAACATTGGTTATTATTAATGGCGTTATTAAAACTGTTAATTTTTTATATCGCTATTGCGATTTACTATTTTATTTTGTGCTTATCGTTTTATTTGATCTCAGTTTTTCAGCCGCATTTTTAACTCCATTATCTTCACATTTTGTTTTTATGAGCATTTTGTCTGTTTATTTTTTTTAGAAACCAGGATGTCCTTGTTAATTAGGCACAGATACAGTTATTTGCTCTCCTTTTGTAATTGTTGGATAGTTCTTTCATGCTGTAGTCTAACCATTAGTAGTCGATCTTAAACCTACCTTCCATAGATCCTCTAACACCAAGCATTATGTACTACTTCCTCTATCTGTGTAATTGGATCCTTCTTCCTGGTTCCCACTTCCCTTTCCTTGTCACTTCTTTACTACATCCTCTTATTACTTCCTTTAATTTCAATCCCTCTTCACTGAGTTCCATTTCTACCACCCCACCCCATAGCCATGAGTGCTTATTGTGTTTCCACCAAGATATTGCCTATACAATTAATTCCTAACTGCAAAGCATCCTGGGAAATGTAGTCCACAAGCATCTGCAGTGCCAGCGTTAGCCATCACATGTACGCTTTATTCTTATACATTGTTACGGAATCTTTTCTTTACCAAGTGACGCTTGCATCTTCTTTTCAGAAACAAATAACCATTGCATAAGAAGTTATTGTCACTAACATATTTTTTTTCTACTAAATTCCATAAACATCATATATTAATGATTTCTGGAGAACCAACAAAGACCTGTCTAAGTCAGACAATGGGGTACACATGCTGCAGGCAACAATCACTACTCTAGTAAACCGTAAAACCAGCCAGTATTATGACCAGTATTATAGGGTCATTTATAAAAACAATAATAAAAAACATTTGTTGCCTATGAAAGTCTTGCTATCAGATTTAATAGATGCCATTTATAAAGAATTAGGCGCCTTTAACGCAGATATATATATATATATATATATACAAGGATTTAATACACAATTAAATATTGGTTACAATAAAATAAAACATACATTTTTATTTTGATTAAATAGACTGTTGTGCATGTTTTGATACCCGCTACATGTTTTGCACATATGTGGGTCTCTGATATGATTACGAGTTATTATTACATTTATTTTTTGTAATGTATGTTATAAAACATTAGCATATTATACAGTGAAAATATTTTAATCCCAATGAAAATAATTTGTATACATTAGCGCGTTCGAGCAGGGCCATCATCAACCTATTGTTCCTCGTAGTAGTATGACTCCTTTGTTGTTAAATTGCCCACCCACTCCTTATAATAATTTAAAAGACTGCAGAATAAGTTGGCGCTATGTAAATGCCAATAATAATAAGATATTATCGGGTGTTATTCTTGCAAGTTCTAAGCAGGGAGTGTTGACTCGAAAGCAGTAATGGGTGAAGCCAAAGGAGATTTGAAATGCATTAACTGTTACCCTGCCACTCATTGTAAGGAACTTCTCATTGGGAGAAACAGAACTCTCTGGGTTTTCTAAATTCCTGTATTTATAGTAGCTCCTCCCCCTCCCCTCTCCCCCCATGGGTTGTTTTTTAAAAAAAATCTAACATACGGGGAAGCCTTGTTTTTACTATAAATGTGCATTATATACACTTCATAAAAGTGTCAAAATTTTACCCTTGATGAAAAAATTAGGCACATCTCATATCATCAGGGTCTTGGCACGTATTGAGTCGAGACAACGTTGAAAGTGTGATAAATATTGGGTAGAAATTTCCAGATGCATAATATGAAACAGAACAAAATATATATTTGCAATATCACCATATATTTACATACGCCGTGCACTGCTTACACTAACACAGAGTTATCATGACTGTTAATATTAAAAGGTTAAAATACATTAGATTATTTTTCAGTGTATTTTTATTTATAAACCTGTGATTCTTTTTTCGGCTTATTTTAAATGTCTATTTCATTTATTAACTAAATACCGAATTGCAAATTTAAAACAAAAATTTCTGCTTTGGAAAAATTCCCAATTTTTAATTCACTACAATTCATTGTTTTACAGTGGCTTCTTCGCAGACCCAGACACCTATTCCATGTACAACAATAATTCCAGAGTCAAAAGGCGAACGCCGGGTCCTTACGAAGTTGATGTAACAGAAGGTAAATAGAATTACTGTAATAAATCTGCTGTCGTCAAACAATCTGGGCAGTAATGACCCACCCGGCACCATAGATGTTTGGGAACTGCACTTCACACTATGTACAGTCAGTCTAACAGGGATATTGACCAAAGTAAGAAGTCTAAGTGAATTTAAGGTGAATTTCAAATTTAAAGCTAGAGTAGTCCACCTGAAAGAGTTAGACAATTTTTGTTATCCATTTTGACTGTTTTAGCCTTAAATTAAAAATTCACTTTGAATTGACTTTGAATTCTCACTTTCATAAATAACTCTGTAAGTATTCACACACATCAGATTGTGTTTCATGGTAATAATGTACGCTTTATTTTAAATACAGGAGGCATGGCTAGCGAACAAAATAAGGACAAAACAACTATTTTGTGTATAGATTGCTGTTCAGGGACAACACAAAATTCAGGTATATATACAGCATATTTTTTTTTTCATTTATTCATTCATCCATTGTAGAAATATTGGGGGATGTATAACATTGCACTAATTATACAATATTTAATATGTTGAAATCCTCCATAAAACTATAAAGACTCCTGTAATTTATATAATTTTTGGGGGGACATGCATTACTTCTGACATTGCAATATTTTGTTGTGAAACACTCAAATATGTCTAATCACGGGTATTTGTATGGAATCCACACATACCCTTGACGATGTCTGCAGTTATAAATAAATAATAACATATCAATTGTCTCTATAAAATCAGTCGTACCTGCATATGAAATTGAAATGCTGTTGCAACTTGCAGTGTGCAGGCTTGTTTTCACAGAGTTGTCTACTTCATCCATGACGTTTGCAATTCTAAATCACTCTGCAACACTACAGTATGGGAGTGGGAGAAGACATCATATGCAGTCTCTCTGCATGAGGCAGAGAGATTGTTGTAGCGATGGGCATAATTTTTATGTGACAGGAAGAGGAACAATGTAAGGGCATTGAGGAATTCAATAGTCTTTATTTCATTAGGTTTGTCATAATCTAAGTCAGTATAGTCACGTGGGATTGGGGTTGGCTGCAGACTTCTGCTACCTGTGCATATATGGTAATTTAGGGGATACATAGGAACATTATATATATATATAAAAAAAAGCTTAATTTGCACACATTGCCTTATGTTGAATAAAAGAACGCCAATGTTCAGTGACTAATAAGTGACAAATTACATCATTTTCACACTATGTTTTTAGATATCTAATGACTGATGTTACTCATGCAATTAGGAATGGTCCATTTTTAAACTACCGGTCACTGTGACTCATGTCAGTTTAACTGTATTCCCTTAAAGGGACAGTTTATCTTAATTTAGTGCATAGATCCTATTGCCACAGTCTGACAAATGTAAGCATTTCTGTTTGCAAGAAATGGCAGTGTTTCCATTTGTCAGTCAGGATGCCGCCAATAGCTGTCAATCATACAATCAGTCAGTCAGTCAGTCAGTCAGACAGCCAATAGAGGCACTTCCTTGTAAAAAAATTCACTCTATCACTTTCACTTCTTCTGATAGAGAAGCACTGAATTCAATGCTTCTTTTATATTGCCTGGCTGAGCGCAGTGATTGCTGCGCATGCACCATGGAACCCCAATACTTGTCTATGAGACTGAGACCAGTCGGCGATGGATAATAGGCGAGTTTAAGTAATGATTTAAACAGAGGAGGGCTGCCATGTTATCAATGGGGTAGCAATGTAATCATGATTTAAAATTGTGCATGACGTCATCATGTCAGGCAGGCAATACGTTTTCTCTTTGCATCCATTAGATATATGATTGTTAAACTTTGGGAATGATAGTGCTTCCCCATTGAACTTGTGATATCAGCAGAGCAGGATTAACTATAAGGCAGACCTAGGTGGTTGCCTAAAACCATGAATTTGCTTGCACCCATTTACCATCACTGTGTGAGGAATAAATTGGAAGGCACAAACTGGTATCCTGTAGTATTAACTAGAAGGCAACTCTAGGTGGCTGCCTAGGGCCCAGGGGATTAATTTGCTTGAAAACCATTAACCATCCCTATGTGAAGAATTAATAATGTGGAGCCCAAACTGGTAAACTTCCTAAGGCCCTGTGGGATCTTAATCTTTCTATTGATGTCAGGAGGGGGTCAGTTCCACTGTGTTTGATTTTGAAGCACTCTATAAAAAAAGAAAAAAGAAAATTATTGATAAATGGAAAAAGTCTGTGTTTGCCACATCTTTATTAAAAATGCATGTAATTGAAATAGAAAGTATTTAATTGACTGTGCAAAGCACTCAAGACAGTGATCTGTGCAGAGCACTCGAGACAGTGAACTTAACTATATAAATATTAAATAGCTCAATGTCTTTCAAGCTGTAAAATTAACCTTCTATAGATTTGTTATTGGTAGACGTAAAATTTTAATGTTAGGTCCTTATTCTTGGCAGGTCCCCACACCAAAGTTGTTCGTCGTATCTTCACAAACAGCCGGGAGAGGTGGAGGCAACAAAATGTGAATGGAGCTTTCGCTGAGCTGCGCAAGTTGATCCCAACACATCCCCCAGATAAAAAACTCAGCAAAAATGAAATTCTTCGCCTGGCCATGAAATACATCAACTTTTTGGCCAAGCTTCTCGATGACCAAGAAGAAGAAGGTAACCAGAGAACCAAGATGAACAAAGATAATGGAATGATACAACAAGATCTTCTACAGGATATGTTGTCACCAAACTCCAGCTGTGGAAGTACTTTGGATGGTGCACCAAGCCCCGACAGCTTCTCAGAGGACCATGACACACTGGACTCCAAACATAATCGGAATCTTCAACAGTCCATGCTCCCAGTAGAAAACAGTGGACAACGATGACTAACTTCTCCAACTGGGTACTGACTGTAACCCCTAGGATTTGGACCTTTATCCCAGATTGGTGTTGGTACACATTTGGGTTGGTATGAAGATGTGTATCCCAGAGGTACTTTATTTGAAACAAAGAGGAACTCTTGTTTGTACTAACAAAACTGTTTTGTGCAAAAGAACTTGTACAAGAATATTTTTTTTTATTCTTCCTCTTGATTGATTTAGGTATATTATTATGTCCTAAGTATGTCCCAGTTTTAGGAGGGCTTGTAGCAATTTGTTAGCTAAATACTTTATGGGGACCAACACCACTAAGAGCACCAAACTAAATAATGTAATATATATATATATATAATGCACATACATACCTATAAATCTTTGGAAAAAAAGCCTCAGGTGGAATTTAAAAACCTGCGGGAACAAACAATGGATAATATTTTTATTTGGTACCTGTTGAAATGAAGGTACATTATACATACATTTGTATCAGATTGGTGAAGTACACATCCGTATTATTTATAAAAGAGCTTCAGTTTGTCATGTCGACCACTTGCAACAAGGACTTTCAATTTCAATGCTTTTTAGTAAGTAAGGCGGTGTTTTGTTTTGCCATAGAATACTAAAGTTATACATGTATTATGTATAGAGTGGAAATGTATTTGTAATTTTCTGTTTTATTTTTTATTTTTTTATTTTATACAGCAAAGCCCCTGCTATTGTCCTATTGGCCAATCTCTGATCTTGCACTTGTTAAAATGAATGATGTTTGATTCAGCAATGTTACTTGTTAAGATTTGGATACTTATGCTGGCCACAGAGGTTGGTTAGCTTGTACAAAATTACAAAAACACTGTTGAATTTGTGGTTGGATTCAGACAATAATATAGTCTTGAACATTGTGTCAAGGAATTGCAACCATGGGAAGACTTATTCAGAAGTAAGAAGTTGGAGAGTGGACCTTCTAAGATTGTTGCATGGACCTTTGTAAATTAACTCATCAAACACAATTGCAAACTGGAATGTCACTCTCCAGCTTTTAACCACTTCATAAGTCCATCGAGAACCATCTAGTGCTCTGGCAGTCTAGGATCGAGGAAACAACAGCTTCTACATTCATGGACACTTTGTACATTTAAAAAAAAATTATAATTCCCCTTACCCTTGCACCATCCTTTGGTGTCAACCTCCAAATCCGATCCCAGGTGCTCTTATTTTTTAAATTTATTTATATTTGGAGGCGCTGCACACATATTTTTAGTGGCAAATATTCCTAGTGACATGGTTGAGGGAAGACTGAATGTTTTAGTCTACCGTAGCTTCATTCATAGTCAATGGCCATCTGCAAGCATGCCATAAATTTAAACAGTTCTGTGACACTAGTGTTGGCAGATCAGCTGACGGGTCAGGGATACTTATAAAGTGATGCATACAGCAGGGTTTTAATTTAACCAATACATTGCTGAAAAAATATATTGCCCATAAGTGTTGCTTATATCAAATCATGAATTGGCCATGTTCATTTTAACCCATAGTAAATTTATTGGCTTCAATACATGGGTCATTGTAATGTTTGGTCATTCAGGAATTCCTGCCTGTTATGTGTCCAATATGTTTATTCATAAATGTGCATTTTTGGAGAAAGGGAACTTCAACATTTTAGGCTAATTGAATCATCCCCCAGCTTAGTTCTTTTTAAGTTCTGCTATGTTGCTCTAAAGTTTGCAATTCCATTTGTAATTCTTCAAAGGTCCCTATTTAGTGAATTAAAAAATTTGCCTCTAAAATAATTCTCAGCTCCTACTGACAGAGTTTTTTTCCCCCCATCAGCTTAAATTTTTAAATTCACCTCAGTGATTAGTAAATAGACTTCTCACAAAGGACCAAATTAGTTAATAATTTCTCGATCTTGAATTTGCTCACATTAACCAAATCCCACAAATGATAACTAGACCAGTCCAGAATGAAACATGACATCATGACTTCAGGATCCTTTGCAATTTCTAAATATCCAGCTGCTATCATTTTTTTTTAATTTAATTTCTTTTAATTCCGAACCATCCCTACTGTCATATACTGACAACAGAAACAGCATCAATTTGGGTCCTCAAGACTTGATTTCAAATCTGTTTCTGCGATATAAGGTACAGCACATTGACCTTCGTGCAGTTCTGAAATAATTTTTGGAAATGCAAATGATCAGAGATTTTTCCAACTGAGCTCCCTCTTCCTTGGAAAGGTACATCGATTTTAAATCACTCTCCTCTTTTTCGCTTGCGCTAAATCTTGATGTAAATGACTGCACTTTCCGTTATTGTTGTACTGTTAGAGTTAAGTGTTGAATTTGATTTCTGCATTTTCTGCAGAATTTAAGTAACCAGGCCTGGTACCCATAACTCTCCTCGTGCCCTTTCAGCAGAGGAAGAGTTAACATTGTAAAGCCATTTAGGCGATAGATTCAATGTGCGACTTAGAAAACGCCTTTTGTTTTATTATATTTGAGAAAATTCCTAAATAAAAGTTCTACAAAGTATGTTATTCCTCTGTGGACGTATATTTCGACCAGTCATGTTCTGCTTGTCATTGAGTGTGAATGGGATGAAAAACTGTATCAATTTATCAATTAAATATTTTTTTTAAATCACCTGCGCTCTGTCTCTGATTAATGTACAGCAATGTTATATTACTGATAAGGTCATGAATACTTACCTTTCCTTGCTAATGAGGAATGAATATGAATTCCACATATGAAAACTGTCTTAAAGAGACAGCAATATTTCAAAATATGTTAACTCCATCACTACTGAAAATAATAAATGCAATATTCCAACATTCATTTAACATTTGAATGCATATACTGTTAGGCTGACCGGTAGTTTTGTATAGAGATCACTGTTCAGAGATACTTAAAAATCTACATTTCTTTATTATTTATTTGTTAGTCAATGCTTTGCAGAAGTATTGAATAGTTAAAATAAAACCAGTTTTGAAGAACCAATTGCAGTTTTTTTTTAACATACATCAACTGCAAATGTAACCTTCAAATTAAAATGTTGATATTAAGTGCTGAGGTTAAGGAATCTGCTGGCCTGTTTGGGAAAGTAGATTCTCAAAAATTTCTTCCGATTGTAAACATGTAAACTTTACTTTACCATTTTTTTTTGTTTTTTTGCTTAAACATTTTCATTGTTTTCAGTATGACGATATATAACAAAAATGGCTGCTAAACGGACACTGCAGTAACCAAAACAATTTTATCTTAAGGAAGCTGTTTTGGTGTGTAGATTGTGCCCCTGTAGTCTCACTGCTTATTTCTCTGTAATTTAGAAGTTGGATCACTTTGTTTATACAGCCATAGTCACACCTCCCTGCATATGGCTCACACAGCTTTTCTAAACATTTCCTGTAAAGAGAAATCTAAAGCTTAAACTTCCTTTATTGCACATTGTGTTTATTTTAGACTTTCTTATTTCATGCTGTGTTACTAGCTTTCTAGACTCTATATGAGCCTCCTGTGTGAGACTAAGGTTCAATTTACACACAGGAGATACAAACTTCTAAAGCTAGTTAAAGGACCACTATAGTGCCAGGAAAACATACTCGTTTTCCTGGCACTATAGTGCCCTGAGGGTGCCCCCATCCTCAGGGACCCCCTACCGCCCGGCTCTGGAAGGGGGAAAGGGGTAAAAACTTACCTTTTTCCAGCGCTGGGCGGAGAGCTCTCCTCCTTCTCTCCTCCTCCGTTACGCCCCGGCGGCTGAATGCGCACGCGCGGCAAGAGCTGCGCGCGCATTCAGCCGGTCTCATAGGAAAGCATTTATAATGCTTTCCTATGGACGCTGGCGTGCTCTCACTGTGAAAATCACAGTGAGAAGCACGCAAGCGCCTCTAGTGGCTGTCAATGAGACAGCCACTAGAGGATTAGGGGGAAGGCTTAACCCATTCATAATTATAGCAGTTTCTCTGAAACTGCTATAATTATGAAAAAATGGGTTAACCCTAGAAGGACCTGGCACCCAGACCACTTCATTAAGCTGAAGTGGTCTGGGTGCCTAGAGTGGTCCTTTAACATCTGATTGAAAAAAAAAACTATTTGTTTCCTTCAGACTGTGAGTCACAGCCAGGGGAGGTGTGGCTAGGGCTGCATAAACAGAAACAAGCATGATTTCATTCCTAAATGGCAATGAATTGAGCAGTGACACTGCATGGGCATGATCTATACACCAAAACTGCTTCATTAAACTAAAGCTATTTTGATACCTATAGTATCCCATTAATGAAGCAGTTTTGGTGTATAGATCATGCCACTGCAGTCTCACTGCTCAATTCTCTGCCACTGAGGAGTTAAATCACTTTTGTTTCTGCTTATGCATCCCTAGCCACACCTCCTATGGCTGAGACTGACAGAAATGGTTTCATTTTCAATCAGATCTTACAGCTCAGTGTGTTTAGTTTATAAGTTACTATCTCATGCTCTGTTAATGAGGCTTTAATCACACAGGTTCTAGCAGACAATTACAGAAAGGAGATAAAATAAAATCTGAATGAAATCACACAAGGCTTCTCCATCTTGTCTTCATAGCTATATCATGGGTTGTAAATGTTGCCCCTTTAAGGCTACTGAACATAGACCTCAATTTAATATTATTGGATGATCATTTCAGATTATTAGATATTTTTGGGATAATCTTTTCAAATGATAAAATTATTATTATTTTTCGAATATATTTTTAAAATATCTTTTTCCAAAAAATTACAAACATAATATATTTTATATATAATATAATATATATATATAGCATATGCTAGATAATATTTTACAGCATAGGTCAGGTTATGTAATGTATGCATTGTTCATGGGTTATTATCACAGATTACCAAATTTATCATAATCTACACTGTATAGAAAATCAGTTGAGGAGCTGTACTACTTCTTGTTAATAACCAATTTTCTGCTTGATGGAAGAAAACGAGACAATAATGTCAGAAATTCGTTTTTTTTTTCTTTACAGAAAGAGTTGTAGATGCATGGAATAGCTTTCAGCCAGAGGTGGTAGAGACTATTGTTGTATTGCAGGATGAGGTGTGTGATGTCTTCATTCTCAGTAATATTTTGCAAGTGTCCTGTGACATCCTTATGCCAGACTAGCCACTGTGGGTAGCCAAGTCTGGTTCTCAGGAGCCTGCACCTTGAATGTTTGAAGAAAAGCAAAGTGCAAGCTATGTGTACTTATAGAAAATCCAGGAAAGGACCAAGGGTATAACCCCATAAATAAATATAATAGAAACAGGAAAAGTAGCATTAGCTTTCCTAAACATGATGGAAGTAAAAGTCTTTAAAACGTCACATTTATTGAATATATATTAAAACAAAAGAAAGACACTAATAAACAAACCAAAATATAACAAAATTAAGGAAAGAAAAAAAGAAACTAAAAAAAGAATAAACTGAAAAAAGTTGCTGGGATGCTCTAATGTTGAATATGAAGGTACATAAAGTATATCTAGTGGTGAAATACCAATAAATATCACAATAAACCACTAGAAGACCAAAGCCAAACAAAATATAAGGTAGCAACAGTGTATAAATGTTAACACGAATCACAGTTGACAAATGTACATCTGGTAAATAAATAATAATGGAGGAGCAGGGCCAGATTAACAACCCAGTGGGCCTGGTGCTGACAATTATGACGGGCCTAATTAAAGAATCATATCGACCAAAAACACTAAAACACTCCCAAGCGTCATGTATCTGATAAAGATGGTGCTGGTGGGAAAGAAAACAGCAGCTATAAGAAAACACATACCCTAGGCTAATCTCCCACTTATTTATGTTTTCATCTTTCAAGTAAATCCATAACCCCTAACAGCAGTGTCCAGTCAAGCAGGAAGTCAATGAGCATGGTAAAAGGGTTTGCCACTGACACAAATCATGTAACCTGCCAAAAGGGGCGAACATGCCCAAAAAGAGGACATGTCTGCCCAAAGAATTAGAATGCCAGCCTGGCATGAATGCATGTCAGGCTGCCTGCAAATCATGCAGCTGGCCAACTAAGGGCATACTATGCAGACAGCACCCTGAGCTTGGCATAAATGCATCTAATGATGCGCTCGCTCAACGCTTTCTAAGGACTGTCTCCTAGCACTCGCTGGTCCACTTGTCTCCTTACCTTCTTACTAGCAGGCAGAGGCTCCTGGTATATAGTCTGGGACAGAGAAAATCTGTATGTAGTGAGTGTAGAAGAAAGGGAACATGCCACAGTGTTAGAGAGACTAAAGTCAGCATTACCTTAAATGATCACTATAGGGTCAGGAACACAAACATGAATTCCTGTCCCTATAGTGTTAACACCACCATCTAACCCCCCTGGGCCCCTCATGCCTCCATAAATATAGTAAAAATCTTACTGTATTCAAGCCTGAAGCTGTAACTCTGCATGCTGTTAGACTCAGAAAAACAAGCGGTCTGCTGACATCATTAGAAGTGGTGGCCTGATCCAATCACAGTGCTTCCCCATAGGATTGGCTGAGACTGACAAAGAGGCAGATCAGGGGCAGAGTCAGCATGATTCAAACACAGCCCTGGCTAATCAGCATCTCCTTATAGAGATGAATTGAATAAATTAATCTCTATGAGGTAAATTCAGTGTCTGCATGCAGAGGTAGGAGATACTGAATGTTTGGATGCATTTTAGTCAGCCATGACCCAGGAAGGATCTCTAACAGCCATCTGAGGAGTGGCCAGTGAAGTTATCACTAGGCTGTAATGTAAACACTGTATTTTCTATGGAAAGACAGTGTTTACAGCAAAAAGCCTGAAGGTAATGATTCTACTAACCAGAACAAATTCAATAAGCTGTAGTTGTTCTTGTGACTATAGTGTCCCTTTAACTATATTCATTGTCAGCCAGTCCACACAAGTTTTGTTCCCATACATCCCTCTTAAGTTTCCATACTTAAGTAAGAGTATGTGAAAAGTAGTCAGGGTTGCCACCTTTCTTGGAAAAAAACATACCGGCCTTACTAATTTGCATAATTAAATATGTATGGGTGACATCACATGATGTAAATCACAAGGAGTGACATAAGAGAAAATGCTGTAAAACAGAAAAAAACTATTTAGTTTGATTATGCTGTATAGATGGATTCCTCCCAGTGCCCCCGTGTGTTGATTACTCCAGGTCTCAGCATTCCTATGTATCAGTGTCTCAGTGCCCCATGTCTCCCAGTGTCGTTTCCCCAGGTCTCCCAGTGACAATATGTATCACAGTGTCCCTATGTATCACAGTGTCTCAATGCCCCATGTCTCCCTGTGTCTTCCAGTATTCCCTGGTGTCTATGTCCCCATGTATCCCAGGGTCCCCATGTCACTAGGACACCATGAAGATGGGGAGACCAAGGGACATGAGACACCAGTGACACTGGGAGACTAGGGGACACTGGCTGGGACACATGGGGACACTGGGAAAATAGGGGTCACTTGAAGACATGGGGACACAGAGACTAAAGACACTGGCTGGGGGACATGGGGACATTGAGACATGGGGGCACTGGGAGACATGGGGACACTGAGACACCAGGGCCACAGACACTAGGGACACTAGCTTGGACACATGGGGACATTGAGACACTTGAGGCACTGGGAGACATGGAGGCACTAGAAGACATGGGGACAGTGAGACACTGGCAAA